TATAAAAATTAAATTAAATTTTTTAAAAAAAAAAAAAAAAAAAAAAAAAAAAAACCCATGAAATTCTGTTTTGGAAATTGGTAGGGACGTGGACAAAGATACTCTCCTTACGAGAAACTTTATTTTATTTTATTTTTTTTGTACAAATTTAATTCATTTATTGTAGCTTTCCATTTTCAGCTTATAATATGAATTTAATTCAAAATTTAAATATACAAAAGTCAAATTTAAACGCGAGGTTAAGCATTTTAATATCTAAAAATTTCAAATAAAAATAATAAATAAATAAGGAATAATAATTATAATTTTAATATTATATTACAGAAGTATTGTGAAAGAAGATGGGCGATGTTGTTTTCATGGACAAGGCATCAGAATATCGGCTGAAATTAAAAATTAAAAATTAAAAATTAAAATATGCGATGACGTCACCATCGGAACCCGCGCGCACCGGATTCATGCCGCATCTGATTTCTTCCCTCCCCCTCGTGAATTTTATTTTTTTATTCATTTCTTTTTCGCAGCCGTCTTTCATAGAAAGCCAAACGCCTTTGCTCAAATGATCCTCCCAACCACTTTTTTATTTACTTTTTTTAATTTATATTTAAATAATAATTTTTGTATTTATTTATTTATTTTTAATAAGAAACCTCCACACCTCCCAATCAATATCTCCTCCCTCTACTTTATCCTTTCCTTCTCCCACAAGTTTTCTTTTCTCGAATTAAAAAAGACGATGATATTTAATTTAATCGATCGATTATTGGGTTATGAGTAATATATTGAGTTAATTTTTATTTTTTTAATGACGTTATTCGAAGGTTATATTAATAAAATAATAATTTAACGATATGATAGTGAAAAAAGTGGAAGTGCTTTATAATGAAATGTCACGTTCAAAGGCCTACAAAATGGAGGAGAAATCTTATTCTTTTTCTTCGCTTTTATTTTTTTTTCTTTTTTTTTCAATGATTTTATAAAAGAATTAATTTCTTTTAGCACAATAATTATTAAATTTTATTATTATTATGATTGATTTGAATATAATCAGATTGTGGAATAGAATCTGATTGCACCCTTCCTTAAAAATGGAACTAAGAGAGAATATTAATTATGCTTTTTTTTTTATTCTAAAATAATCCATTTAGAATCAAATTTTTTTTTATTAATTTATATAATTTTTATACGGGAGGTAAATGACGTATTTCTCGTTGAAGAAATGTGAATTTGGCTCAATAGTCAAGGGTGTAAATGTCATTTAAAACGTCGTTATACCGACACGTAAATGAACGTCAGCTCGATGTCGTAAATGCCGACATTTTATTTATTAATTATTAAAATGAAAACTAACCCCTTTTTTAAATTTGGTAATTGATATATTTAAACACCAAATTGGGAAGGGAATTGGGGATTTTTTATTTTTGAATTTGAGAATTGAAGTGGTCCGTGATTAAAAAATAAAATAAAATAAATAAAAAAAAGTAAAAACTTTGGGGAGGAGAGAGAAAGTGATGAGAGAGAGAGAGGTTCCCAATAAAGTAAGACTTATTTTTGTGTGGAGGGAAACAGGTACACGTGAGACTTGCATTCACTTCAGTACTTTTTATTTTTTATTTTTTATTTTTTATTTTTTATTTTTTATTTTTTATTTATTTTAACTATTTAATTTTTGTCCTGTGGTCCTTTCCATTTTTTTATTATAAATTTGTTTTTATTTCTTAGGCCCAATCTTCAAACCCATAGTTTGGCCCAAAAGGCCCAAATGTTTGTGTTGTGGACAACATGTTAATGGGTCGATTGCATAATCTTCTTGTTCGATCTATGAACTCCGAGCAGCGCCTGGATGAAGCTACGAAGTGAAACCAGAGCAAATTCAACGAGACAATATGGCCATTGCTCTGTTCTAATCTCCAAGCTATTTGTGTACCCAAAAGGGTCTGTGTGTGTGTGTTCGTGGCTCAACATTAATCGGAAACCTATTGTTGTGGGTATTCTTTCCTTAAACCCCATTTCTTGAATCTTATCCCGATTTTGGGTTTTCTTTTGTTGTTTCTTCCTTTTACGTGGTTTGGGCTTTTCTTCAACTTTAAATCTCCTTCCCTTGTTTATCCCCTCTTTGATTTTGATCTTCTTTTCGTCATTTGTGCATCCTTCGCCGTTTGATTTCGTTTTTTTAATTTGTTTTTGTGATTCTTGCTCTTTCTTAAGCTTTGTGTTCAGGTCTGCAGATTCTTGATTTTGCCATTTTTCTTTGATTTATGGTAATGGGCACTCTTGTTATCTTCAAACATTGTTGTTTTTCTTTTTTCCCTTTCATTCTTTGTTGTTAATGTTCTTGTGGGTGTGTGCATTTCTAGCCTTTTGTTGGAACTCTGGTTTGCATTTCATAAATTCTTAGATTATGTGAATCCATATTAACAAGAAAATGAATCATTGGGGGTGAACTGTAATTCTTAGTCATTGATATTTTAGATTGATTCTATGCGTTGTGTTGGGTTGAAATTGATGTCGCATTCGATAGGATTGTTTATTATATCTACTTCAGATCATACCTTCTGACAAAAGTTTGAGTATCTCCCTATGAATTAGTGATTAGGCACTACGGAAAAGGTTGTGATAAGAAACGATCAATTTTTTGTGCTCGCACCATGGTTAAGGCATCGGATTCCTATCTAATGACTTAGGACGTAATCTGGGAGAACAAAAAAATATTGCCTTGATGCCACTTGTTGTCGTTAATTGTTAGGTATCACGACTCTCTACAATGTTAGGATATTGTCCACTTTGAGCATAAGCTCTCGTGACTTTGCTTTTGGTTTCCCCAAAAGACCTCATGCCAATGGAGATGTATTCTTTACTTATAAACCCATGATCAACCTCTTAATTAGCCAATGTGAGATTCCTCTCTCAACAATCCTCCCCTCGAACAAAGTACATCATAGAGCCTCCCCTGAGGTCTATGGAGACCTCGAACAACCTCCCCTTGATTGAGACTCGACTCCTTTTCTCTGGAGTCCTCAAACAAAGTACACCTTTTGTTCGACACTTGAGTCACTTTTTACTACACCTTCGAGGCTCACAACGTCTCTGTTCGACATTTGAGAATTCTATTGATATGGGTAAATTAAGGGCGTGGCTCTGATACCATGTTAGGAATCACGACTCTCCACAATGGTATGATTTTGTCCACTTTGAGTGTAAGCTCTTGTGGCTTTACTTTTGGTTTCCCCAAAAGGCCTCATACCAATAGTTGTATTTCTTACTTATAAACTCGTGAACAACCTCTTAATCAGCTGATGTAGGACTCCTCTCCCAACAATCCTCAGCATGGATGGCTGTTGCAATAATATCGGTGCCATCTAAATGCGTTCAAAATAGCCCACTTTATAGATGATCCCTATACACACTTTTGAATATAAGGTGTTTCCACTACGTAAGGAAAAACTTGAATTATTGTCTCGGATCACTGTTGTAAACCGTTGTTTCATTTAGTGCCATCCTTTTATCCTCTTTAGAACAATGAGTTATATGGAACACATTGTGTCTTAGTTTTATAGTGAAACAAGTTCTTAGCCTGTTAAGAACTACTGAGGAAATTTTATTTTTAATTGGTCCAATTAAAACGTTTGTGATTCTGCATTTTGTACCAATGGAATGCTTCCATTTGCTGATTTGTTCGTGTTTTATCTTTTGTTTCTGCTAATTCCTCAGGCTACACCACCATGAGTATTGGTTCAATCAGTGTTTGCACGAGGAACGTTATCCCTCTGAACTTCCGTGTTTGCACACAGATGGGCAGCAACATCTGTACGGTGCTTTCCGGAAGAACACCAACTTCATGCTGTTCTTATGGAATTTCAAGACCAAAGTATGGTGATCAATCTGTCACGATCATATCATCTTGTACACCAAACACTTGCCAAAGAATTCAGGGAGGCTGTCTCAGTTACTGCTTCTCGAGACGGCCAAATGACTTTGAGGCTTTAACGGTTAAGGATTTGATCACCGACGGAGGATCGCGTGGAAGAGGACTTGAAATTTCACTGGCTTGCAAAGGTATGAATGCAAAGATATCAGTCCCCAGTGATGGGATGTGTAGCAAAATCAAGTATAACATGCGATGGCCAGAAAGATGTGCTTCTGCTTCTGCTGGCTTAGTTTTTGGATGGGTGGTTTGTTGTTCCACTTCTGAACCAGTCCATGCTGAAGCAGCCTATGACAAAAAGGGCAATGAAGAAAACAATGATTCATCTCATGTCAAATTCTCTCATGGAAAGAAGGTTTACATCGACTATTCTGTCATCGGTGAGCTTCGAAGTCTTCCATTTCCTTGTTTTACGTTAAACCGTGTTAGCAAAGTAGCATAGATTAAGCAACCTGTTTGTTCTGGACAGGAATTCCCGGAGATGGACGATGTTTGTTCCGCTCGGTTGCTCATGGAGCTTGCTTACGATCCGGGAAGTCAGCTCCGACTGAGAGTCTTCAGAGAGAATTGGCAGATGAGTTGCGCACTAAAGTACGTTACGCACATTCTACTGTAGCTATTAAGATTCATTTTTACTTAAAATCATGGATCACCCATCTTTCAGGTTGCAGATGAGTTTATCAAGAGACGCGAGGAAACAGAATGGTGAATCAATCTCTCTTTCTCTCGACTTGAGTTTCATATCAATGGCGTTACTCTTGTAGGATAAAACATGAACAGTTGCTTGTGTTGTCAACAGGTTTGTGGAAGGCGATTTCGATACTTACGTGTCGAATATGCGAAAACCGCACATCTGGGGAGGTGAGCCGGAGTTGTTCATGGCTTCACATGTTCTTCAGTAAGCTCTTGCTCTCACTGTGTGTGTGTGTGTGTGTGTAGTGCATATATGAGTGAATGGTTTATGATGAAGAGGGTGTGGTTGCTGGTGCAGGGCACCTATCATAGTGTACATGTACGATAAAGATGCTGGTGGGTTGATATCCATTGCTGAATATGGCGATGAATATGGGAAGGATAATCCAATCAAGGTTCTCTACCATGGTTTTGGCCATTACGATGCTTTGCAAATTCCTGCAAATCAAGGACAAGCAGGTAGATCAAAGCTTTAGTGTTCTAATTCAATCAATTACATCTTTTTTATTCTATAAAATAAATCCAAAATTTGATCGAACGAGTTCAACTTAGCGTTATAGGATCATTAGGCTTGGGTCGACACTAAGTCTAGTCAATCGCATGAGCCCCAACCATATCTTAGGGCGACAGATAGACTTTTAGGTCGAGTTTGTCTTGTCTAATGATGAACATTGACGAGTAGTCGACCCTAATAGAACAGGAAACAAATAAATTAAAATAATATTATAATTGTGGAGGGTAAATTGGTAAATTTACTTGTTAATATCAAATAAAGTTGAGCCAAGTTAAAGGTATTATGGACATTTGTGAAATATAAAATTTCTGAAAATAAATAATAATAATAATAATAATCCATCGTGGGCCCACCCCTAGTTTAGGCCCTTCGCAACTGGTCCTCTCAACACTCGGCCCACTTCTCGGCCCACCACGTCACTCCACTTGTCGTCTCCCCCGGGCCCATCAGCCTCTAATTCTTTTTCTTTTTATTGTTTTAATTTTATTTCATTTTAAAATATGCCTCACCCAAAATTTTATTTTCTCATGCATTCATTTTTCAATTAATCTACATCGTTAAAAAAATTAATGAAATTGAAATTTAAAATTAATAATTACTAGACCCGAACCCTAGCGGTGACCTAAAACAATTAATCTACATAGTTCAAATTGAAACAATTAGCGGTGACCTAAAACAAAAATTGAGACCGAGACTTGAACCCTATATTAGATTTATATTTTTGTTATGAATTCGAATGGATTTCTACTTCAATTATATTTTTAAGAAAATTATACATTAAAAAAAAACATTATAATTAGTGGAAAATATAAATTGAAATAAATGAATGAAAAGAATTTTAGAAGTAGGGATGAAAAATAATAATGAGGGCAAAAATGGAGTGGGCCCACAAAGGAGAAGTGGGCCCATTGGGTTGAAATGGACAGATAAGCCCTTGGGGTGGGGGGGGGGAGGTCCTATGCAATTGGGAGAAGTACCTTTAGAATGGGCTGATGGGCCTTAAAAACGACAACGTTTCATTATTTATTTATTTATTTATTTTATAAAAAAAAAGACTTTGTATCTGTTTGGCTGCTGCTTCCCTATCCTCACACACACCCAACCAAATTCAACACCATATTATTATTATTATTATTTCTTTTTATCCCCAATAAAATTTAATATAATGTTCTAACATTTAAATTATTTACAGCTGAATTCTAAATAAATTTCATGATTTTTTTTTTATTATAAAGTAAAAAAGGTTTTCCAAAATTTTAAAATGTTGTTGGATCATGCATTTAATTGGTCTTTTTAAATATAAAAACAAATAATCCATCAGAGTAATTATAATTTATTATTTAAATTGACTAATGATTATTAACTATAATTTAATGATATGAAAATAAATAATAATAACAAAAAAAAAACATCTAACTTCAAGAGACATAATTGAAAAAGACGTAAGTTTGACACTTAAGATCACATCATGTAGCCGTTAGAAAACAAACAACTATAAACTTTAAGATGTAAGTTAAATTTTTGTGATCAACGATCAACGATAAAGAGTCGCAATCTTAACTAAATTCGTCGATAACGGTTTCCTACAAATATAATATCTTGTAAAAGTAAACAAGTATTAGTATCTAAATATTATCAGTTCATACACTTAACCGACGAACGTTCTCGTGAGTTTCTTCAATTATAAATCACTTTATGCTATTTAGCATGAACTTTCCTTCACCAGCAAAGCGTCGAGACTTCTGCTACCTTCATTGATATACCTAAATCTCGATAATCCAAAATTTTAATTATTGAAAATTACAAGCATTTAAAGTGAGACAATTTACAAGAATCTCACGCAAAAAATTAGAAAGGAAATGACAAAGATGAAATTCTAATATAAAAATAATCTTTTAAATATTAAAAAATAGTTGTTTTTTAAATAATTGAAAAACTAGAAAAACATTTATTTATTTTTTTAAAAAATTTATATAGAAAAGATAAAAGAAATAAATAAAATAAAAAGGAAGCAATAAATTGGGAAATAAAAAAAAATATGGTTGGGAAAATTGAGAAAATGAAATGTGGTTGGTGATGTGTAATATATTAAATTTTGAAAATGATTGGAGTTTTTATTATTATTATTATTATTATTTTGTGGGACCCACTTGGAATCATGTCTCCAGCTCATTTGATAGCACTCTCCCATCTCATACCCCTTTCAAATTCTCCACCAATAATTTTATTTCTCATAAATAATTGGTTAAATTATAATTTTTTTAAAAAAATTAGTAGATATTTATAGTTTTATCGAGTAAGCATTTCATCATAATTTGGAATATATATATTTAAAATTTGATAACCTTAGTATTTAGTATTATTTATTTTTTATAGTAAAAATTATCCCCACGAACTAAACATAGTTGATGAATAACTAAACGGTCTCTCTCCATGTTTCCTAGAAAAATTCGGAGGTTGGTGTGAGGTTCCATAAGGGTTGGAGAGGGAGAACAAAACATTTCTTATAAGGGTGTGAAAATATCCCCTATTAGACGTGTTTAAAACTGTGAAGCTTACGGTGATACGTAACGGACCATAGCGGACAATATATCGGACTGTTATAGTTGGTCACCCAACTTAGAACTGTTTCAAGTTAAGCACGTTTAAGTTTAAAGTTTCTATGGTAGAATTACCTAAAAGAAGTGAATTGTATTGGTATAAATAGCAATTATAGATTTTTTAAAAAACTATAATTTTATATATATGGTCCTAATTCTATCTTAATTCATTTATATACTATTTTGAAATATTAAAAAAAAAAAAGTAAAGAATAAAAAAAAGGAATAGAATAAAGTAAAAGAATTTAATTAAAAAAAAAAAACAGAAGCACAAGATTGGCCAGGTGGATAGTTGACAAACCAACAGAACACTACATGTAACGGCTTAAGCCTACTGCTAGCAGATATTGTTTGCTTTAGTTTGTTAGAGATCCCATATCGGTTAGAGAGAAGAATGAAACATTTTTTTATAAAGGTGTGAAAACGTCTCTATAACAGACACATTTTAAGACCGTGAAGCTGACATAACTATTATTTTTAAAAAAATAAAGATGGGAAGAATCCCTATGAGGAATAGCTTCGATGTCCACAAAAATAAATGGGAAAGGCTTCCTAGTCTCTGTCCCGTGAACATATCTACTCTTAAGCATGCTAATTGAGACCATCCAAAATCTAAATCTTTAAGTACGAAACATTACCCATATAAAAGTTTCTCAACTACGACTTTTTTTTTTTTTTTTGTCGACAAAAAGTCAACATTTCATGAAATTTTTGTTTCACCGACATCAATCAAATTATTAGTAAAATATTATCTATCGATTAACTAAATCTATTTCATTCAAAATTATACATGCACGTGACAAAATAAGTTTAACAAATATATGAATTAGCAGCGTACCAAATTTTTATTAACAAAATTTAATATTTTTTTAATAAAAATATAATCAAGAAATTTTAATTTATTAGGAGTAAAATTAAGAATTATATATATATACCTTTCATTTTTGGATAAGAAAGTGAAATTTATTATTATAATTATTTAAAAAAAAAAGTGGTGAGCTGGAAATATGATATCCAATTAAAAGATAGTGTTTAGAGTAAAGTTGATTAATTAGGGGACAAAAAGTTCATAATAATGACTTAAATTTGCCAAACCCAATTGGGTGATATTTTCTACTTGTGGGGCCCACATGTCAGAACTCCAACTCTTCCCCTGTCACACACGTGCCTTCTCCCAATGAGTATTTTACACGTGTCGCATGGATAGTTTATTCCCGACTCTCTCAAGTGGTCTATTTCATTTACCTCAGCTGGTTTGCCGCAAATTGTTTTTTTTTTTTTTTTTATAATTATTATTATTAATCTTAAATATTTCATTTTTCTGAATTATGAAGCCGAAAATGACCGATTATAAACCCGGTTAACTCGGAGACATTACGAGTCGTGCAGGTAAGTAACAATGGCCGAGATGCAGAGCCATCGTGTAGTAACGTAATGTCTCGATCATATTGTTACAAATAGTATTAGAACAGCACTTCTTCTAGTAAGATATGGTTTGAGGACGAACAGAGGCGAAAGTTAGTAGACATGGGACGCCAGAATAAACGAGGAATACATGAATGAATCAAAAACCACATCTGAATGAGAATAATCCTAAGGATACGATGTATTTATACCAACAATATACACCTCATTTTCGGTGGCTCAATCATAAAAATTAAAAAATTCTATATTGGATAATCTCCTAAATGAGACAGAGGATAGACGTTTCCCTAAAAAACCCGCATGGCTTTACCTCGTTTTTTATGCCCTAAAACCCTAATTTCACGTCTTAATCTCTCTGTTCTTGATGCTTAAAGCCGGGAGTATGGTGACTAATCATAGATTAATTTTTTTTAATTTAACTAAATATATAGAGATTAAAAAAAGTTACCATGGGTCAATATATTAATTTTTAAGATAAGGTCCTTTCGGTGTCTCATTTTCTCAATTATTCTATGGTCTTAGGGGTCGGTCAATACATAGATGTGGACTATAAAATATTAAATTATTTCAACGGATTTCGAGACTTAAAATGATATATTAAGCTTTTACATAACCAATATCATATTATTTAAATAAAAACACAAAATACCATCCCGACAAGTTGATAGCCAGATTCGCCCATCGAGCAATTGTTCTCCACTTCTGTAATTATTGAACTATATATAAAATTTTACTATATGTTTCGAATTAGGTCGTTTAATTCTTCAACTTGGTCTAACGACATAAGTACTCGTAACAATTGACGAACACAAATAGACGAACACAATACCTGTCTTTTTATTCTTTTTTCATCAATCAAAGTTCAAACATGTCAATTAATTTCAAGTAACGGGAAATACCCATCTTTCGATTCTATTCTCTTCATCGATATAATAACACAAATGGATTTGATAGAGCTGATGCAACATAAACACTAAAAACGGAATTGAACATCACTAATCATATATAAACAGAAATCGACCCATAATCAATCAGGGGACCATACTACGACGAGCATCAACATCTCACAAGAACATCTAAAACGTTATGTTTGTTTCTCGGGTCAATGCTCGGGAATGAACTAAATTACCGTTCTCTCCCTACACAAAAACAAATCAAGTTAACAAAACATCATCGTGTTTGATTGAAATGAAGATGAAGAAGTAGAAAAGCAAAAAAAAAAAAAAAAAAAAAAAAAAAAAAAAAAAAAAAAAAAAAAAAAAAAAAAAAAAAAAAAAAAAAAAAAAAAAAAAAAAAAAAAAAAAAAAAAAAAAAAAAAAAAAAAGGGGACAAAAATGTGTTGGTGGTCCATGAGAAAGTCACCATCATCAGAGAAGAACTGTTGAGAGTAAGAAGCGTAGAAGCCATTTTCTTTTCTTTCTCTCTGATCTTTATAAAGAATTCTCGGTTTTGCGTATAATTGTGCAGTCCTTGTTCATCGGTACCACCAAGCAACGTTGCTTTCGCTATACTTCAAATGGGCTCGAGGAGTAATCTCTTGGGAAGATCGATTGATTGATTAAGAGGAAGAACAAACTTGATTGGCTGCCATTGAAGCTCCATCTCTGATTTCCCCCTTTTTCTTCTCCTAAATACGCCTAAGATTTAAACGATTCATACCCAGATTCTGTTTCGTTTTGATTCACCTCCATTTCCGCTGTGATTGATAGATTGATTTGTTGTTGTTGAATTTGGAAGTGATTTGGTGGATTTTTCGAGTTTTTGTTGCTGTGAATGGAGATTAGAGTGGGGACTGTTGGTGGATCCAGTCCAATCGGGCGTCAATCGGATGATTCTGGACTTGAGTCGCTTCAATTCTGCGAAGAAATTCAGGGGTTGATGACGATTCCGGCGGAAAATGCTAGCTCCTTTACGGCACTTCTGGAGCTTCCGGCGACGCAGGCTTTAGAGCTTCTCCACTCACCGGATTCCGCCGGTGGTGCGACGGCGGCGGTTGTGACGGATGATTCCGTTCCGAAACCCTACTTCGGTGCCTTCAATTGCAATTTGACGTTCCCGACGAACTCGGCTCTAATTGAACGCGCTGCCAAATTCTCTGTCTTAGCCGAAGAGCATTCGCCGGATACGACAAGTAAAGTGGCGTTGAATTTGGAGAAGGTGAAGAACGAGCCCACCACTGAAACCGATTCGAACCCTAATCCGTTGCAGACATTAATCTCCGATCCGGCGGTGGAGAACACGAACCAGAGATCGACGAAGAGGAAGGAGCGCGAGAAAAAGGTAACCAATAATCAAACGAACAAAGACGAAAAACTTAGGGTTTGGATTTCTATGATTCCTCAGCAATTTCGATGTCTGAATTTTAATCAATCAATTTAGGGAAGAGGGTCAACGAAGAAGAGCAAGAACGAAAGCAGCGAGGCGGCTGAAAAGCTTCCTTACATCCATGTCCGAGCTCGCCGTGGTCAAGCGACGGACAGCCATAGCCTAGCAGAGCGAGTAACCTTGTTAATTAATCTGTACTTAAGGTGTAATTATCCATTAATTCTGCAAAATTAACACATCATTTTGTTCTTCTTGGTTTCCAAAGGCGAGGAGAGAGAAAATCAATGCTCGGATGAAGCTTCTTCAAGAACTGGTCCCTGGATGCAATAAGGTCAGTAGTTATGCAGTCATTATCATAATTAAATTTTCTTTGATTGAGATTTGTGGAGTTTTATTATTATTTCTGTCTAATTGTCTGCCAAAAAGTGGAATTATGTTTTGGATTATGAGCTTTAATAACGGGGTTTGTCATTGTCATTGTCATTGTCACCTTTTCTGCAATAAAGTGGTTGCTTTTGAGCCAAGGGAAGTGCACTGTGGAGCTTTTTCTTTATCTTCATTCCAGATTTTTTCTCTCTTTCTTGTCTTAATTTTGCATCTAACAAGAACCCAAATTCTAAAATGAGAGAGAAAAAAGGAAGAACAGCTCAAATCATGAAATGGGGAGATGAAGTTAGATGTTATCTGTTTATTTTGGCCTAGAACAGCTCAAATTAGCTCTCTCTTGCACTCATTAGTTCTTGATTCATTTTTTACATCCCTAGAGATTGCTTGAAACTTCAGCAATTTTCAATTTAGTTCCAAGGGAATGAATGCTAGCTGGAGTTGGGTTGAAGCAGCTGGGGGACATCTATAGTGGGCATGTCGAATCAGAAGAAGGGCCCCATATGCTTGTTGGGATTGTTGATTCTCTTTGGAGGGGCCATGGTACTGTCCATCTGTTTTGAGTTTGGCATCCATCATAAATTGGGTGACGAATATAGGATGACAGAAGAGCAACTTCTATCAGAGTATATGCATATATACCAAACTTCCCCTCACCTAACTTCTCAGGGATGTGAAAAACATGAGAGCCTTTAGGGAAATATCCATCCCTTTACCTTTCGAAGATCGGGTCGAAAATCGAGCGCGTTTTGTGCAACGCATTTTGTATTAAAGGGATTGAGACTGGCCTTGCCTCTGGTTCATTTCCGTGTGATTAAACCATGATCAGTATCTTCTGAAGATTCAGAAGTAGAGAGAGATGAAGATTATTGGTTTACTTGATAATTTCTAGGATAAGGTTAGTGGGTCAGTGGTTCTGAACATGAAGTTTGAAGTTTTTGTAATCGTCTAAGTCTACCGCTAATATTAATATTGTTTTTTTTTTAATTTTCTTTTGAACTTTCTCTCAAGATTTTTAAAACGCGTATGTTAAGGAGAGGTTTCCTCACCCTGATAAAGAATGTTTCGTTCTCCTCCCCAACCGACGTGCGACCCCTCCAATCTACCCCCTTCGGGGCCCAACGTTCTTGCTGACACTTGTTCCTTTCTTCAATCGATGTGGAACTCCTTCAATCCGCTCCCTTTGGGCCCAATGTCCTTGCTAGCACACCATCTTATGTCCACCCCCTTCAGGGCTTAGCCTCCTCGCTGGCACATTATCCGGTGTTTGCTCTGATACCATTTGTACAACCCAAGCCCATTACCAGTAGATATTGTCCTCTTTGGATTTTTCCTTTCGGGCTTCCCATCAAAGTTTTTAAAATGCGTCGGTTAGAAAGAAGTTTCCACACCTTTATAAACAATACTTCGTTCTCCTCTCTAATTGACGTGGGATCTAACAGTTTTCTTATTTATTTTCTTTATAAATGCTTCAGTATATCATTTCCATGAATGATTGAGATTGTATGATTAGATTTAATTTCATAATAATGTTTGGGCGTCACACCTGTCTGTTTTTATTGCTTTTGGTGAAGTTTTTTTTGTTAATTTTGTTCGGTTCATGTTGGGCCCTTTTAGTTTTGTGGATATTATCATGCCAAGAGGTTTCACTTTATTAAGTGCTGAAACAGCTCAAGTTAGTCTGGCTAAAGCGTGGCTGTCAAATCAAATTATTGGATGCCTATGATAATAGACATTAATGCTTTTTTGATTGTGCCTATCATAAAATGCCAACATATCCAAAACAGTACCTTTTTTCGTGTTCTAAATTAAGGTTTTACATCCACCCTTCCTCCCTCTCTGTGTAGATCTCAGGTACAGCCTTAGTGTTGGATGAAATCATCAACCATGTTCAATCACTGCAGCGTCAAGTGGAGGTCAGAATCTAAATACTTCAAAAAACAATTTAGATTTGAGACTAAATGGCTTAAGCTTTCTATGATATGAAACTGGTCAAGAGCTCCAAATGCATCATTTTCAGTAGTTATTGAACCATTTTTCTTAAGATATGAACCAATTCTGTTGACCTTGCCATGTTTCAGTTCTTGTCAATGAGGCTTGCAGCAGTTAACCCCAGAGTTGATTTCAACATTGATAGCATATTGGCTGCAGAAGTACGTATCAGTGTTCCTGCTTCTTTTTTTCTTTATCAGCTTTTCTGTTTGAGTGTGAGGAGCTTGGGAGGAACTTTACATTTTGTTCTTTAATGTGTGTCATGTTATGTTATTGTGTACTGAAATTCAGAACGAACCGATACTGGAAAGCAACTTTCCGAGCATGGTTGCGCCATTGATGTGGCCAGAAATCCCAGTAAATGGAACCAGACAACAATATCAACAACAATGGCATTTCGATGCTGCAGTTAACCAGCGAGCGTGGACGATGGATGAACATAATCATCATAATTTCAGCACCCCCGAAAACTCTCTTTTAAGTTACGACTCTTCAGCGAATTCAGGTAAAGAGGTCTTAGAAAATAGCAATACTGGAAATATGAGAACTGAATTGAAACTAAGTTGATATCACTGTGATGAAACAGCATCTCTGCACTCAAATCAATTGAAGATGGAGCTGTGAAGGAAACATTATATTATTTTACATGTAGCTACTAGTAGTGTATATAGCCATATATATATATATGATATATATATATATATATATATATATGATAGTAATAATAGTAATAATAGTAATAGCAGAGTTAGCAGAGAAGTAGAGAAGTAGAGAATCTGCCTCCACATTCAAGTAGTTCTTCTCCAAGGTTCTCTAATTATCATCAGAGTCGAGAGTCGAAAGTCGAGAGCTGAGCATCGACACCAGATTGCTATCAACAACCAGAGAGGAATGTGATTTGGTATCTCCAATTCATAATATCTAAATTTTTATGTGTATACTAATTGTGATTGCAATTGTTAAAGTGATTGCTACTTGACCCATTCCCTTACTCCACTTATTTCACCAAACTTTGTTCTTCCACTGCCCTTTTGAACCTCTCTTTGTGCTCATTTTTCATTTTCCTTTGAGATGTTCATATGCAAAACACAAAGAAATCTATGATATCCAAATCAAGTGCCATAGTGTGTAACTCCAAATTCCAGCCATGGTAGCTTTATAATAGCTACAATCAAAAATCCAAAACTAAATCATTATATTGTTGAAAGAACAACAATCATACGTATTCCCCCCCCC